CGCTGGACAACGCCGGCAGGCTGTCCCTGCGCGAGCGCATCGTGTCCGACAAGCCGCTTTCGGAGAGGATCGCCATCGTGAAGGCCGCGCAAACCTCCATGCAGCACCAGAGGTTCAACCAGTCCCTCTCGAAGGCGCTGCTGGCCCGATCTCGAGCAGATGGGGCTCAGCACGCAGGCGACGTCTACTAGACCGGAGATCAGGTGCACTACTGGAGGGGCAACGGCAAGCCCAAAAGAGAATGGGCCTCGCAGTGGCACGGGCCCGCCGTCATCATCGGGGTCGAGGGCGCGTCGAAAACGCGGGTCTACCATCGCTCCACGACCGTGAAAGTCGACCGTGGACACCTACGTCGCGCCACGGCCACGGAACTCGCTCCGCGGTGGCAAGTGCTGAACGCGCTGAACGGCAACCGATCGCCTGGACCTCCGCCAGGCGCCCCGCCAGGGACCTCAGGGCCCGCGCATCCCCCAAGCCCTGGAGGAGGCGGCGGTGGCGCAGGAGGCGGACCCCCTCCGCCCGATCCTGGCGAAGGGGGAGACCCTGCTGGACCGCCAGGCGCTGACGACGACATGTTCCTTGATCTGACGGGACCGACACCGAAGAAGCGCCCCCGCAGCGACGGTCAGCCCCCCGCACCACCAGCGCTGCCAGTGCCCGACCAGCAGCCAGCCATCCAGCAGCGCAACTTCGGCAACATCGAGCATTCCGAAGCGAACCAGCGCGCTCATAAGCGCGCTGAATGGTTGGCACGCCGCCAAGGAGACGGCGATTTCACAACCAGTGGAGGGGCAGGCGGCAGCGGGGAACCGGCCCCACCGCCTTCGGGAGGAGACGTGCAGCAGCCCCCGCCGCTGCTACCGCCAGCGGAGCCGCCGCCGCCACCAGCGGCTGTCGACCCGCCGGCGCTGGCCTCAGACTCAGGCGATGCTGCCGCCCCTGCAGCCACTTCCGCCGCTGCTGCCGCAGATTTTCGACCTCCTGAACCTGCCCCATCAGGGCCCGGTCGACGATGACATCGAGTCCGATGGCTCGGGCATGATTCGAGAATGGGCCAAGATTGCGGAGGAGCAGGCGCGCCAGGAGACGATGTCGCGGCGCCCGCCGGACACCGAGAATCAGCGCGGCACCGAGACGCAGCGCCAAGTTCAACGGGAGAACGCACCAGCGGCACTGCAACGCGACCGCCAGCACGAGCTCGCGAACCCCGCGAGCGCGCTGCAAAGCGCAAGGATCTCTTGGACAGTCTGCCCAAGTGCTTCAAGAGGCCGAAGGACACGAACGAGGTCGACTTCTACCTAGACAACTACTTCCAGAAGCGCGCGAGCGAGCCCTACGCAAGCACACGACTCCGCGAGGCACTTCTCACGGGCAACGCGACCGCCAAGGAGCTCAAGTACGACGCGCTGAGTGCCACCGAGAAAAAGAACATGGACGCCGCCGCGAAGACCGAGTGGTCCAAGTGGACGGAGTTCGGCGCCTACAAGAAGCTCCCGCCCAAGGAACTGAAGGAACACCTGCGGCGCAACCCTGGCATCCGCCCCGTGGGCACGCGCCGGGTGCTGACCAGCCAGCAAGGGCCAGAACACCATGAAGGCACGCCTGGTCGCGCAGGGTTGCCAGGGGGACAAGTCGCAGATCAGGGCGGGCGCTCCTACAGGGCCCAGGGGCGCACTGTACCTGGCCCTGGCCGCTGCGGCCCAGAAAAACTGGGACATCTCGTCCTGCGACACGATGGCGGCCTACCTGCAGCCGGGTAACATTGAGAGGCCACTGCCCTTGCGCATGCCGGCCAAGAAACCGCCGCCGGGGACCCGGCCTGGCGAGATCGCGATGGCCACGGGCGCGATCTACGGGGCGCGCGACGCCAGGAGGCAGCGGCACCTCTACGCGCAGAAAGTTTTCGCCGAGCACGGCCTCGTGGAGAGCAAACTCGAGAAGGGCCTCTACTATTTTTAGACGAGGGTGGGCTCGCCGCGGTGGCCCACTCACACGTGGGCGATTTCCTTTTCGCCCAGCGCAACAACTCCAACCAGTGGAAGGCCACGATCACATCGCCGGGGCAGAAGCTACACCTCAAGCCAGTCGAAGGGGTCATCAAGCACTACGGACGTACGATTACCAAGCTCGACGACGAGTTCCGCGTGACCCAGGCCACCGCTGCCGCGCGGGTGGACTACGTCGACTTGAAGGCCCTGGAGGGCCGAGGAGCTGAGGACCGACTCACCGCCGCCGAGGTGGCGAGCTACCGCCACACGCTCGGGCAGCTGTTGCGGCTAGCAGCGCAGACCCGGGTGGACATTGCCTGCCTGGTGAGATTTGCAGCTCGACGCACCAACGCCGCTACCGTGGCCGACGCGAAGACGCTCAACAAGACAGTCGCATACGTGCACTCCACCGCGAACTTCGCGATCGTGCTCAAGCGCAGGCTCGTCGACCTGAAGACGGCCATCACCGCGTGCTTCAGCGACGCCGCGTTCGCCAACGTGGACGGCGTCAAGAGTCAGATGGGCATGGTGATGGGGCTCACCCATCGCCCGCGTGACGTCGTCGGGGGCCGGTACGACCTGTGCCTGCCCGTCGCCTGGCACTCTGGCACAGTCAAGAGGTCGGTGAAGTCGACCCTCGCTGCCGAGAGCCACGCTACCCTCGAGGGGTCGGAGACCAACATGTGGTTCCGACGGCTGCTAACCGAGACCTGCAACCCCAAGACGGCGCTCGAGAAGATCGACGTGCTCGCCGACAAGCGCCCTGGGGAGATCTACAGCGACAGCAAAGGTCTCGTGACGCACATCGCTTCAGATGTGGACCAGTCTACCGACAACCGGTTCCGCATCGTCGCCTCCATGATCAAGGAGGCCGTGCACGCCAACAGTGCGCTCAAGCTCAGCTGGGTCCCGACCTGGGCCATGGTCGCGGACGCCTTGACGAAGACGATGGAGGCGGGCGTCCTGCTGTCGTTTTTCGGGGCTCGCAAACACACCTATGGGACCTGGCAGCCACACCCTGCCATGCTCGCATCAGTCCTGTTCACCTGCCTCGGCAACGTCAAGGGACAGCCGACGCCCACGCCGACGATGCCGGACTGCAGTTTCTAATGTTTGCCTGCTGGCGTTCACGCCGGTCCTCGGCATGATTATCGGTTTCGACATCTTCATGACGCCCTGGACGATCCTGAAGCAGAACAACGCGATCGCCAACGAGGAGAGCGCCGCCGAGGCGAAGGCCATGGGTAAGCACCCCGGATGGGACGGCCGCATGCTCGGCCGACGCCGCAACATACCACCCACGATTCCAGAGGATCGTGACCACGATGGTGACATCACGATGTTTCACGCGGACGTATTCAGCAGCGCACAGGCATCGAGCTCAGTAGCATCTGCTACGATTCAGCTGCCGCCACCGCCGCAAGTACCGACTAAACCACCACCTGCCATCGCACTACCACCGCCATCACCATATGCCGCAGCATCAGCACGGGGATCTGGACGATCAAGATCAGCAAGGTCGCAAGGAAACTCGGCTCCCGCATCACCGACTGGTTTCCGTGACGAGTTCATCGAGTTCCGTTTCAGCTTCATCAGCCAGTGTTGTGTCGTGGAGCGGATCCTCCCCGACTGTGCAGCCGAATGACATGCTCAGCTGCGTGACTGGCATTCCTCATCATGATGTGGCCATCGGCCACAATCCGCATAGTGTGTACATCACTTGCAAGACCTGCAAGAATCACGTTTCGTGGCTGCTTCGGCATTATCATGTCGGAAATCCCGATTTCACGATTTTCCCGGAGAGTGCGATGAATGACCTCAAGGGCCGCTGGTGGAAGCTCACAAGCAGAAATGTTTGGCGGGGATCCGATTTAGCGGACAAACCGGCGAAACCGAAGAAAAAATGAACCCCGCTTGGTTTGACGGCAATTTGGCCGATCGGACCGGAAATGTTCTACCGCCCATACCATACCCCCGGTCAAGATTTATGGATTCCGCGTCGTTGCCAATACTACGCCCGGCCAAGATTTACGTATTCTGATATCGCTGCTTGTACACCCGGATAAAGATCCACACGTAACCCCGCGTTGTTTTTCTCGAGAAACTTCATTCGTTTCAGTGCGCACAAATTTGGTTTGTGATGACGATCACACCCGTTTAGTATCTTGAGAAGATGGCTATATCTTCTAGGTGTTGTCGCATCGCGATCGAACCCTGGCCATTGCTGAGTATGCCTTGTATGCTATACAATGCAAGCCGTTTGTTTGCTTATCTCCGTGGTTTTTGCCGGCGAGTGACTTGCTTGCTATAGTAACCGCTCTGACGCCCGAGACGACGATCCGAGCATGTCCTAGGACGAGTGTGAATCAAGCTCACTCCCCAGGAATGTAAGAGGCCCGAGAGGGTTTCCCCAGACGCCTCGAGGGGCCTGCGGTTTCATTCCTTGCTCGCCGCTGCCATTTTTATTTCTCAGGGCTCTTGGCCTTAGTGCTACGCCAGTTGTTCGAGCCGCGCTCACAGCAAAAACATCCCTGGCGCTGCGCGCCGATCCGTATCACACCAGGGACATCCATCCGCGGCGACCAGCTACCCACAGGTGCACGGTTTCCCCCGGGCCGTAGGCGACCCGAGGAGGACGAGGAGGATGAGGAGGAGGAGGAGGTGAGTTGGAGGAGGAGGAGGCGGGAGGAGGAGGAGGAGGAGGAGGAGGAGGAGGAGGAGGAGGAGGAGCAGGAGGAGGAGAGGAGGAGAGAGGAGAGAGGAGAGAGGAGGAGGAGGAGGAGGAGAGGAGGAGGAGGAGGAGGAGGAGGATGAGGAGGAGGAGGAGGAGAGAGGAGGAGGAGGAGGAGGAGGAGAGGAGGAGGAGGAGGAGGAGGAGGAGGAGGAGAGAGAAGGAGGAGGAGGAGAGAGGAAGAGGATCCTCTGGACCCGTTTCTGACGTAGGTCCGAGGCCTCTCTGCACGTCCTGGGTGGCGGTTGGCGGGGGCCCCTGATGTCACAACAACCCTGCGCTTGTGTCGTGTTCCTTTTTCCATCGCACCATCCTAGAAGAGGCTGCGTACTCATCGGCCTTCAGTCAGCGAGCGAGCGAGCGAGCGACGAGGACGGGTCGCCCAAGCCCTTCAGAGAAACCCTCCACCCACAGGCAAAGGGTCGGGACCCTTGGGACCCGCGGGTCTAAAAGAGCAGATCGTCGGGTCTCTCTGTCCCAGGCCTCGCCAACAGGTCTCCAGGACGTCTGCCGCTCCAGCGCAGGCTCGCGGCCGGCCGCGCTCTCCAGCGGGGGCCACCGAGGGACAGTGGCAGCACGCGCCGAGAGAAGGCGCGAAAGGGCGCTGGGCCGAGCGCTGATCCCGCCAACTGGCAGTCAGGCGATAGCTCTCACTAGCAACCTCCCAGGATCTGCGTCGTTGACTGTCACTCGGAAATCCGGGTCTTCCTGGAGCATCGAGAGCACAGCGGGCCGAATCAGTGCTTCTTCCCTCAGGCTGTGCTTCCCTTTACCTGTGATAATGTTCAATCTCTGATCGCGCTGCAACTCGCGCACCGACATTCTCACAGCCAACTTGGCCACCTCTACGGGCAAGTCGTGCAAATCAATCAAGTCAGGCAGTATACGCCAATCAGGACACAAGCCCTGGCGTACCGCATCGGCAAAAAATGTCTCTGCGTCCTCACGTCGACCAGCGTCTGTGAGAGCCATCGACACTATTCTATACGTACCAGCATCTGTCATCATTTGTTCCCGCGTACTGTGAAATAGACTTAAAACCTTCTCCCACAGTCCGCATTTACCGCAGATGCCGATCACGCGATGCCAGGCGACCTGCTCTAGGGCTGCCTCGTTGAAGCTCGATCGAGCGATTCCATTCGATGGTTGCTGGGGCTCGGCTGTCTGCATGTCTTGGAGAAAAACCAGCGCTAGCTCCCAAAATCCGTGTTCACCAACGCCGATGGCTGCGGCGTAGGTCTGGGCGTCAGGCTGCATACCCTGCGCTTTCATCTCGCACATCAAGTACTGGACAAGATCGATCTGTCCAGCCCTGCTGCAAGCATCGATTGCGCTGTTGTAGCTGATGGCATCTGGCTGCAACCCGCGCTTTCGCATCTCACTGAGAAGGCCGGCGGCCCATTGCCACTGCCCGCACTTGCCGCACGCATCGATCGCAGCATTGAAGCACACCACGTTCGGCGACGGCATCGCGAAAAGGAGGCGGATGGCCCACTCCCAAGCAGTGCCGCCCGAGCAGGCGCTGATCGCTGTGCTGTAGCTATACTCGTCCGCCGCTAGCTCGCGCAGCTCCATGTCGAGCAAGAGGGACAGGGCGACCTCCCAAAGCTGACCCCTTCGGCACCCTTTCAGCAGCCTGTTGAATGTGTGGACGTCAGGTGCCACTCCAGACTGGTCCATCTCCCCAAGCAGCGCCATGGCCTCTCTCCACTGCATGTCGTCCGCCAAAGTTGAGATCATCGGGTTGTAGGTCCGTACAGTAGGGGCCTCGCCGGTGCTGCGCATCCTTTGCCGCAACTCATCGGCGTGCTTCTGCGGCATCAATTCCCCCACCAAGTTGTACGTGACCACTTCGGGTTGCACGCGGATGCGCTCCATCTCCCAGAAGAGCAGGAGAGCCGAGGAGGGATTCCCCGCGCGGATGGATGCGCTGATCGCGACGTTGTAGGATTTGGCGTCTGGCGCCAGGCCTAGGTGCGCGGCGTGTCGCAGGAGCGCCAGCGAGTGCTGCCACTTCTTGGCCCTCTCGCAGACACTGCTCGCCGCCCGGAGCGCTTCCCTAGTCGGAGGGCACTGCACGGTGCTCATGTCTTCCAGCAGGGCCAGGGCGGTTTCCCATCGCTCCCCGTCCCCGCAAGCGCAGGCGTCGATGGCGGCTGCGTAGGCCTGTGTGTCCACGGGCAACTGGCTATCCTTCATATCCTGCAGGAGGCCCAGGGCGACGTCGGGTTGGCACCCAATTCTACACACTCTGAACACCGTAGTGAAAACCTTCTCGTTTGGGACAACGTCGTGCTGCCGCATCTCATCCAGCATCCCCAGCGCCTGCTCCCAGCCGCCGGCGTCGGCCTCGCAGCGGATGGCCGCGTTGTACAGCACCCCTTTGGGCTTTACGCCGCGCTTGCGGGCCTCCGCAAGCAAACCCGCAGGGAGCCCTCTTGGTGACTCTGGGCTTGCACACGCCTGCAGCGCGGTGTAGAAGATGAAAGAGGTCAGCTGCAGACCGCGGAAGCGCATCTCGAGGAGCAAATGCACGGCCTGGTGCCACATCGACTTGCCGCGGAGACCCTGGAGCACTTGGATGTAGTCCTCAGAACAAAGGCAAAACAGAATTGTCAGAGATTTGAAATATGTTCGGAGGTCCGCGCGGAAGATGCACTGAACCCACCTCCCTGGCCCGCAGAGCGCGCCAAGGGCGGCTCCCGAACGCGCAGAGCACTCTAGGGCGGCGCCGGAGGCGCCGCATGGGGGGCTCCAGCGCCGATCGAAGAGAAGTCCGCGAGGAGCTCCGACAACTTTGTGCTTGTGCAGGGAACGAGCTAGTTAAACAATATTTTCCGAGTTTCCCTACCATCCTGTGGTGTTCAGTCCTCGTGTTGAAAAGAAAGCGCCCCGCGTTCCTTCATTCCTTCCTTGCTTCCTTCCTCCTCCTCCTCTCATCCTCCACCCCATGCTCCCTCCTCCTCCCTCTTCCAACCATCGTCATCACCGGCATCATCATCATCAGCATCAGCATCACCACCATCATTGCCATCACCATCACCATCACCATCACCATCACCACCATCATCAGCATCATCAGCAGAATCGCCATCATCATCGCCATCACCATCACCATCATCATCACCATCACCGTCATCATAATCATCAGCATCATCATCAGCATCAACATCATCATCGGCAGCATCAGCATCAGCATCAGCATCATCATCATCATCATCATGATCATGATCATGATCATGATCATGATCATGATCATCATCATCATCATCATCATCATCATCAGCATCAGCATCATCATCATCATCATCATCAGCATCAGCATCAGGATCATCATCATCAACATCATCATCCTCATCATCATCATCATCATCAGCAGCAGCAACATCATAATAATCATCGTCAGCACCGTCATCAGCGCCGTCATCGTCATCATTGTCATCATTATTATCATCATCACCCATTACGGACCTCTCACACGTTTCATGGCTCCATGGGGAATTCCACCGAAGGCCCCAGTGGCAGGGTTCGCGTGACGTTTCGGCACACCTCTCACACGTTTCGTGGCCCCATAAGGAGCTCCACCGAAGGCCCCAGTGGTGGTACCCACACGCGTCCCCGCCACCACTTTCGGCACACCCGTCACACGATTCGAGGCGCCGTAGGGACCTCCACCGAAGGCCCCAGTGGCGGTGCCCACATGCGTCCCCGACATCCATTTCCGCACGTTGCGTGGCCCCATGGGGGGCTCCACCGAATGCCCCAATGGCGGTGCACACATGCGTCCCCGCCGCTCATGCCGGCACAACCCTCACACGCTTCGTGGCCCCGTAGGGAGGTTCACCGAAGGCCCGAGTGGCGGAGCCCACATGAGTCCGCGCCACCCATGTCGGCACACCACTCGCTCGTTTCGCGGCCACATGTAGGGGCTCCACCGAAGGCCCCAGCGGCGCAGTTCGCATGCGTCCCCGCCGCTCATTTCGGCATTCCTCACGCGTTTCGCGACCCAGGCTTGCGGTCACCGCCGCCGCCCTTGCCCTAGCATTTCGGCAACCTGCTCACACGATTCCTGGTCCCACAAGGAGCGCCACCGAAGCCGATACTCACATCTACGACACACACAATGCAGATGATTGGGCCCTTCGCCAGGCTAATCGTTATGTTTTCGCTTTCCCTCGCTCTGTCGTCGCTCCACGCTGCAAAACATAATCAAAACGAAAACGGTCCACGAAATTGCCAAAACACCGTTTAGCTCGAGCCCTGTGTCCGTGCCAAGCTCTATTTCTCCCTCGAAGTCATGAGGGCTCCGCAGGCGCCCGCCCGCCCGGAGGGCCGCCAGCGCGCGCGCCGTCTGCGCCGCGTCCACCTCCTCTCGGCCGATCTCGTCGGCCAGCTCTCGCCATGGCCCGCCCTGAGACGAAGCCAGGACGAGAACATAATCGGGTGGGGACACAGTCGGGCTGCTGAAACAAGGAATGATAAATCCGACGATCCGGCGTGTGAGTTTGAAAAAGCCTCAGCTACAGCCTACAGCCTACAGCCTTAACTTCAGCTCTGCTGGGGGAGGGCCGGGGGGGCTCTGCCGGGGAAGGGGGGAGAGGGGGGGGACGAGTTGTGCTCCGTTTTCCGGCTGGGCTCCTAGGGCTTGTCTCGGCTACCCGCGTGTCTCTGGGGAGGATGTTTTTGAGACCCCTCACGAGGATCGTCGCCTCCGAGGGGTCCCGAACTTGAGTACCCCGCCCTCCCGCCCCAAGAAGCTCCCAAGAGGCCCCCAAGAGGCCTCAAGAAGCTCCCAAGAGGCTCCCAAAAAGCTCAAAGAGGCCCCAACGAGGCCCCCTAAGAGGCCCCAAAGTGGCCCTAAGAAGCGCCCCGCAACTGCCCAAGAGGCCCGCAACTGCCTAAGAGGCCAACCACGAGATCCCAACCAACATCCATGAGGCCTCTGACCCACCACCCAGGCACGGTGGCGGGATAGGCCGAAGGCCACTAGATCCGCCGCCCCCCTGTCGATGCATCGCAGGGGTGCCTGGCGTGCTAGATCCTCTCGGTTTTGGTTTTGGTTCTTTTTACAAAAGAACTCTCCCAGTGGGTTTCGGCCCGTCCCGCCCGGGTCCCAGGATTTTTTTCCACGGACCTCAATTCCCTACTTTTCTGCACAAGACAGCTCCAAGATGGCCTCCAAGATGGCCTCCAAGTCCGCCCAAGATGGTCCAAGGCGGCCTCCAAGACGGCCCAAGAGAGTCCAAGACGGCCCAAGAGGCACCCCAGAGGCCTCCCAGACGACCCAAGAGGCCTCCAAGAGGTCCGTAGGTGCTTGAAAGATTTTGGAATTTGCTTCTTCTCGGCATTCCGACGGCTCAAGACGGCCCAAGAGGCCCCCAAGATCGCTCAAAAGGCCCCCAAGAGGGCCCCATGACGGCCCAAGTGGCCTCCAAGATGGCCCCAAGGGGCCCCCAAGACGGCCCAAGAGGCCTCCAACAAGCCCAAGATGGCCTCCAAGACGCCCAAGATGGCCTCCAAGACGGCCCCGAAGCGCCCCAAGAGGGTCCCCCGTTGGCCCAGAAAGGCCCCCGAGACGGCTCCCGACGGCGTCAGACGTGCCAGGAACCCACCAAGATGGCCGAAGTTGGCTCGAAGCTGGCCCGAAAGGGCCCAAGAGGCCCCCAAGAGGGCCTCCAGGAAGGCCAGAAGAGGCCAAAAACATTGATGTTCCTTAGGTTTTTGACGGATTTTGCCATTTTCTTCTTTTCGGCTTTCCGACGGCCCGAGACGGCCCAAGAGCCCCCAAAGATCGCCGAAAGATCGCCCAAGAGGCCTCCAAGACGGCCAAGATGCCTTCAAGATGCCCACGTGTTCCCCGAAGGCTTTCCAAATCGATTCGGGGAACACATGGTCCGATGGCTTGGCAGGTCTGGCCTCAACGTTCGGCCACATAGGCGCTTCCACAAAGGCAGGGGGCGGCGGTGATTCGCCGTAGGCGTCTTCGATCCGCCGCCCCCTTTTACTTTAGCAAAGGGGTGCCTGGCGTGCCAGATTATATGGGTTTTGGTTTTGGTTCTTTCTCCAAAAGAGAGCTTCGGCCCGTCCCGCCGGCCACCCGGAAGGCGCTGAATTCCCAATTGTTTCGCTCAAGATGGCCCAAGATGGCCTCCAAGATGGCCACGTTGGCCCAAGATGGCCTCCAAGATGGTCCAAGATGGCCTCCAATTCCGCCCAAGATGGTCCAAGACGCCCTTCCGGACGGCCCAAGAGACTCCAAGACGGCCCAAGATGGCCCAAGAGGCCACCCAAAGGCCTCCAAGACGGCCCAAGAAGCCTCCAAGAGGTCCTCCAGGAGGGCCCGAAGAGGCCAAAAACATTGATTTGCCATGCGTTTTTGAAGGATTCTGGCATTCGCTTATTTTCGGCTTTCCGACGACGCAAGACGGCCCAAGAGGCCCCCAAGATCGCCCCCACAGCGCCCAAAAGGCCTCCAAGATGGTCTCCGGACTGCCCAAGAGGCCCCCAAGATGGCCCCAAGAGGGCACAAAGAGGACCCAAGAGGCCCCCAAGACGTCCAAGATGGCCTCTAAGACGGCCCTGGAGCACCCCAAGAGGGCCACAAGTCGGCCCAGAAATGCCCCGCAAACGGCTTCCGACGGCGTCAGACGTGCCAGGAGCCCACCAAGATGGCCGAATTTGTCTCGGAGCTGGCCCAAGACGGCCCAAGAGGCCTCCAAGAGGGCCTCCAGAAAGGCCAGAAAAAGGCCAAAAACACTCATTTCCTATAGGTTTTCGAAGGATTCTGACATTTGCTTCGTTTCGGCCTTCCGACGGCCCGATACAGCCCAAAAGCCCCCAAAGATCGTCCGAGAGGCCTCCAAGATGGCCCCAGAACGGCCCAAGAGGCCCCCAAGACCCAAGACGGCCCAGGAGGCTTGTAAGACGCCCAGGATGGCCTCCAAGACGGCCCTGGAGCATTCCAAGAGGGCCCCCCAAAACGGCTTCCGACGGCGTGCCAGGGGCCCACCAAGACGGCCGAAGATGGCACTAAGATGGCCCAAGACGGCCCAAGAGGCCTCTAAGAGGGCCTCCAGGAAGGCCCGAGAAGGCCAACATCATTAATTTCCCATGAGTTGTTGAAGGATCGTGGCATTTGCTTTCTGTTCTGCCTTCCGACGGCCCTAGACGGTCCCAGTGCCCTCAAAGATCGCCAAAGAGGCCCAAGACGGCCCCAAGAGGCCCCCAAGACGGCCCAAGAGGCCTCCAAGACGCTCAAGATGGCCTCCAAGACGGCCCAAGAGCTCTCCAAGACGGCCTAAGATGGCCTCCAAGATGGTCCAAGATAGCCTCCAAGTCCGCCCAAGAGAGGAGGAGATGCCTCCAAGTCCGCCCAAGAAACCTCCAAGACGGCCCAAGACGGCCCAAGAGGTGCCCCAGAGGCCTCCAAGACTGCCCAGGAGGCCTCCGAGAGGTCCTCCAGGAGGGCCCGAAGAGGCCAAAAGCATTGATTTGCCTTACGTTCTTGAAGGAGTTTGGCATTCGCTTCTTCTCGGCCTGCCGACGACCCAAGACGGCCCAAGAGGCCCCCAAGATCGCCCCCACAGCGCCCAAAAGGCCTCCAAGATGGTCTCCGGACTGCCCAAGAGGCCCCCAAGACGGCCCCAAGAGGGCACAAAAAGACGACCCAAGAGGCCTCCAAGACGCCCAAGATGGCCTCTCAGACGGCCCTGGAGCACCCTAAGAGGGCCCCACATCGGCCCAGAAAGGCCCCCCAAACGGCTACGGACGGTGTCAGACGGGCCAGGAGCCCACCAAGATGGCCGAACATGGCTCGAAGCTGGCCAAAGACGGCCCAAGAGGCCTCCAAGAGGGCCTCCAGAAAGGCCAGAGAAGGCCCAAAACACTGATGTCCCATAGGTTTTCGACAGATTTTGACAGTTGCTTCGTTTCGGCCTTCCGACGGCCCGAGACGGCCCAAGAGCCCCCAAAGATCGCCCAAGAGGCCTCCAAGATGGCCCCAGAACGGCCCAAGAGACTCCCAAGTCGGCCCCAAGAGGCCCCTAAGACGGCCCAGGAGGCTTTTAAGACGCCCAAGATGGCCTCCAAGACGGCCCTGGAGCATTCCAAGAGGGCCCCAAATCGGCTCAGAGAGGCCCCCCAAACGGCTTCCGATGGCGTCGGACGGGCAGGGGCCCACCAAGACGGCCGAAGATGGCACTAAGATGGCCGAAGACGGCTCAAGAGGCCTCCAAGGCCTCCGGGAAGGCCCGCAAAGGCCAAAATCATTGATTTCCCATGAGTTTTTGAAGGATTGTGGCATATGCTCTTTTTCGGCCTTCCGACGGCCCGAGACAGCCCAAGTGCCCCCAAAGATCTCCCAAGAGGCCCAAAACGGCCCCAAGAGGCCCCCAAGACGGCCGCAGAGGCCTCCAAGACGCTCAAGATGGCCTCCAAGACTGCCCAAGAACCCTCCAAGACGTCCTCCAAGAAGGCCCGAAAGAGTCAAAATGGCCTCCAGGCGGCCAAGATGACCTTCAAGATGCCCACGTGTTCCCCGAAGGCTTTCCAAACCGATTCGGGGAACACATGGTCCGATAGCTTGGCAGGTCTGGCCTCAACGTTCGGCCACATAGGCGCTTCCAAAAAGGCAAGGGGCGGCGGTGATTCGCCGTAGGCGTCTTCGATCCGCCGCCCCCTGTCGATTCATCGCAGGGGTGCCTGGCGTGCTAGACCCTTTCGGTTTTGGCTTTGGTTCTTTTTCCCCAAAAAACTCCCCCTAGGGCTTCGGCCCGTCCCGCCGGCCACCCGGGAAGATCTTCCAGATCCGGTTCCAAAAGACAGCCCAAGATGGTCTCCAAGATGCACCCAAGACGGCCAAGATGGCCTCCAAGACGGCTCAGATGGCCCCAAAATGCCTCCAAGACGGTCCAAAGATGCACCCAAGACGGCCTAAGATATCCTCAAGATGGCCCAAGACGGCCCAAGAGCCCCCTAAGAGGTGTTCAAGACAGCCAAAGAGGCCTCCAAGAGGTCCTCCAGGAAGGCCCGAAGAGGCCAAAATCATTGCTTGTCCTACGGTTTGATCCATGTTTTACTAAACGCACTTTTATATTGCTAGTACCCCCTCTTGTGCCGCCCCTCTCTCTCCTCCTCTGCTCCGTCCTCGTCGGCTTTGCCGCCGCTCAAGTTTCGGCTCAAGGATTTCCAGCGAGATCTACGAGCCCTCAGGATTTTGCACAGCACCGCGGGAGGGTCAGAGCCTCTCGCTGCGCGGCGGCACTACGAAGTTCTGGTCCCCAGACCTGGCCGACGAGGGCCGTCCCTTCTGGGCGGCAGCGGAGGAGTTCGAGCCCGACGGCGAGGTCGACTACGGAGAGGTGGACGAGATCGCCGTGAGGGGGTCGAAGGCGTCTGTCCTGATGGCGCCGT